GTGCAATCTTCAGAGTTTCTTCTGACATCCATTTTGGTCTTTTCTTCCTCTTCTGTCTTTGTAATGACCGTTTGCACTCTTCCTGGATGATACATTTAACATCCTCCCACAGCTCATCTGATAACATTGTAGAGAATGTGAATTCCAGAACATTTAATTGTGCTTATGTGATGACTGTACACAGACAAGAGGCAGTCATTCTAACAGAAAAGGGACTCTTGCGTGGTTTAAACTCAAGAAAGGTGTGCATTAGGGTTGTATCCTGCCTTTATATTTTATTCATTCTGAATCCTGAGCACTTGGGTCTAGAATGTGAAGAAGATTGCAGTATTAGGATTGAAGGAAGACTTACGATCTGCAGTGTACAGATGACACAAACTTGGCTTGCTGGAAGGGAAGAGGGCTTGAGACACATTTCTGATAAAGATCAAAGACTACAACCTTCAGCATGGGTTAAATTTTAACACAAAGGAAACAATCCCCAATGGTGAGGATGGCACAAGTGTTTCATCTTTTCATTCGTGGTGTAGCTAGCTGTTAAGTTGGAACCAACGTGACAGATCCTAGCAACATGGAACTATGACAACATTCAAGAAAATACAGCCCTTACTAAGACAGCACTGTCCTTTCCTATTGCTTTGCTTTTTCTGTACAATGCAGTGTGTTTGCTTCTCAAACTGTTAAATATTCTTTTTCATCCTCATCATCTGTATAGTACCAAAACAAGTATCATGTTAACAGTGCACATTTATTGAACACTTACTGTGTGCCTAGCGGATTGCTGAGTGCTTTACTTGGATTCTTTTACTTGACGTGACACCCCATGAAGTAGAGGCTTTCTGAGAGAACGTACATTACTGGTGCTTGTCCACTGCCTTTGCCCTCTGGTCTTGTGATGAGAGATGCTTGTCCCTTCGGGTTCTGCAATGAGAGATGCTGTCTTGGACTGAATTGTGTTCTTCCCAAATTGTATCAACATGATTCATGATATCAACAAGATTCTCAGTTGGTTTGGTTTGTTTTTTTTATAATTTTAATGAACATTTACAGAGATTTTGGATTTCCATTCATTCTTTGCTGTACTTCTCTCCCCGCCCAGCCCTCCTCCTCCCCCCAGTTTGCTCCTCTCTTTGAAAAGTAAAAGAAAAACTCCCTCCCTGGTACACAGTCCCCCCTGCACTCCTCCCACTGCCCCAAGTACATTCCACTATGCAACCTCAATTTGGACTCTTTTCTCAGTTGTTTTGTAGTTAATGTAATGATGTAATCTGGGAGTTGTGTAGTATAGAATCATCCTCCATAATGTGATCAGATGTGATCATCAATTAGTTATAAGAAGATTAAAGTCCTGATCTGATGGAAGAGATGTTTCCCTGGGGTAGGGCCTATGTTACATTTTTTATCTTGTTGTTATGTGCTGTCAAGTTTCCTGTGATTCATAGTGACCCTATGTACAACAGCTCTGAAGCCTGCTCTATCTTGAACCAGTCTCATTGATTCTGACACACTAACCCTCCTTGCCCCAGTTACTGTATCAGTCTATTTCATCTGGAGTCTTTCTCTTCTCCATGTGCCTCCACCCTTCCAAGCCTATGTCCTTCTCCAGTGGCAGGTCTCCCCTGGCCACAGGCCCAAACTATGTGAGACAGAGCTTCAAAATCCTAGCTTCCAAGGAGAAACTTGGTTTCACCCTCTCCAAGACAGATATATTTGTTTTCTTGACAGTCCATTCATGGTATATTCAAGACTCTTCTCCAGCACCACAACTCAAAGGCATTGAACAAAGAAGAGACAGGAGTGGAGCAAGCATGTCCTTTGGACTTGAGGTCCCTGTGCTAAGAAACTCCTAGACTCAGGGGAGAAATGATGTTAAGACACATGAAGATGTCCAACACATGCCAGGGCCAGAGCAGCTGAGAGAGACAAAGACATTCCTCTATAGCCAAGAGAGAGCAATCCTTCCCTTAGAGCCACCACTGTCTTTGAGGATCATTATGACTTAGAATCAGCTCAATGGTGCTTTAGTTTTCTAATGGTGAGAGAATCAATTCTGTTTATTAAAGCCATCCATCCATGTGTGGTACTTCTGTTACAGCAGTGCTCGATCCCTAAGATGAATGCCAGTCTGTTGGGGTGGGGTGGAGGGTGCAAGTCTGCCCAATCACCTCTGCTTTTCTTTTCAGTTTTGAGAATGATGCTGACAAGCTTCTTCACATCCGTGTGGAAGACTCAATGGATGCAAACCTTTTCCCCTCATTTCGCCACCTCTGCCACTTCATTGGTAAGGAACGTACTCTAACACGGTGGCAGCTGACCTGGACCTGGGGTGGAGGGACTGTGGTTCCCCCTCCCCCACCTATTCCTGAGCAGTCTCCCAGAGCTTGAGTGTGCCAGATCAGGCTAAGCCCAGCCCTCGGGAGCCTTCAGCGATAAGACAGCCAAAGTGTTTACCTCAGGGCAGTGGGAACAAATGAGAATACCTGCCTATGGATCCAGGGCCTGGGTTCCAGCCCCATCTGGACTCCCTCAGCCCCAACCAGGTGTCTAAGTGCCTCAGGGGGACGACTCCCTTTTCCCTCCTTGGAAAGTCAAGTATTAGCAACAGAGCTTCCTGGGCCAGAAGACTGAGAGCCAGACAAACGGCCTCTGCCTGATAGACCTGCATGCCCACATGTGATTCTTCTGAACTACCAGCTGAGGGTGAGCATCCTCATTTGTAAGAGGATGAACCAGTAGCCTAGAGTCACATGACTGCCCAGGACACACTGTACAGATTCTAGATGAACTTTTGGTCCACAAGCCCACTCAGGCCAGTGGACTTAGAGCAAGTAGGGCCCAGAGTAAAGGGACCCATAGGTGACACACCATCCTGCTTCTACTTACAGACATTCACTCTGAGCTTAAGTCCATCATCTTGGTCTTTTCCAAAATGGGCATCAGCCGCAGCTCTGCAGCTATCATCGCCTATCTCATACACCGGGACCAGCAGACCTTGAAGGTATACACATCCTGGTTCAGGCTTGACCACAGCCACCCACCTAGCAGGTGGGGTCAGAAACAGACCTAGGAGGGATGGCACAGTGGTGGGATTCTGCTGGGAGTCGGGGTGGGGCCGCAGGTCCAGAGGACAGGATCTGAGCTGTTGTGATCCTGTCTTATATGCCAGGAGCTGGACACACAGGGTAGGTCCAGACACTTCATCCATAATCTCCCAGCATTTGTCTGCTTCTCTGAAAGGAAGGCAGCATCTGGCTGCAGTCTGAAGTCCCAGGATGTCAACGCACCAGAACTCTCCTCAGGCATCCACTCTAGCTGTCTTGTTGTATCCATGAGAAGAGCAGGGCCTAGAGTGGGCAGGGGAGCCAGCAGCCTGTGAATAATAGACCTGAACTCTCTCCCATCCTGTGCCATTCTTACCATCCTCGACACGATTGAATCTGTTGCCACAGATACTGTATCATTCCATCTCACTGAGGGTCTTCCTCGCCTTTCCTGACCTTTCTTCCACCTTTCCAAGTATGATGTCCCTTTTAAAGGTATGTCCAAACTATGAGATGATGCTTCATCTTAGCCTTCAAGGAACACTCTGGCTACGCGTCCTCCAGGACATATTTCTTTGGTTTTTTTTTGCAGTCCATGGGATATTCGGCATTCTTCTCCAGCACTCTAGTTCAAATGTTCTTCTCCTGTCATCCTTAGTCTTTGTCCAGCTCTCAGATCCATAGTTGTTTGTCATTGAGTTGGAATCAACTCAGAATCACTGGGGAGGAGAATGCCCATCCTTCTCCTGTGGGGCAGCTGGCAGATTCGAACCGTGTGTCTTTGGGACTGCAGGACCTGCAGCATAGCTTCTTATCACTAGGCCACCAGAGCTCTGTGACTTGAATCGGGCACACCTTAGTCTTTAAACTGATATTGTTGGATTTTACGGTAGGTGTAATATAAATACACACACTTCCTGCCACATAAGTCACCATTATTGTCCCCATTTTGAGGGAAGTGCAGAGGCCAAGGAACTTACCTGAGGAGCCACAGTTGTAAATGATGGAGCCCCAGCCCAAAGCCAGATGCCACTTCTCAAGAATCTGAGCTTTATGCATTGAACAACAAGGAACTTATGAAATAGAACACAAAATGGGTGACCCTGGAGGACATTATGCTGAATGAAATATCTCCATCACAAAAGGACAAATACTGCATAGTGCCACTTTTGTAAAATGGGATTGACATCGGGGTTGGGGGGAGACTGAGAAAGATGGGATAAATAATGTATACTGCATTGAAACAGATGAGGGAGAGAATTGTTTAAAGGGGATATATGATTAGATATTATTGTCATGACAGGAGTCCAAAACAAAGGCTGCATAGTGGAATGGACTTGGCAGGGGGGGGGAACTGTATAACAATGAAAGAGGTTTTTTTTTCTTTTTAAAGAGAAGAGCGAACTGGTAAGGGGAGGGGTGGGCAGGGAAAAAAGTGCAACAATGAATGAATGGAAATCCAAAGTCTTTGTAAACTATCATTAAAGAACAGATTAGAAGTGATATATGATTGAGTATTATGGTTAGCACAGGAATCCAGAATTAAGGTTGCACAGGAATCCAGAATTAAGGTTGCATAGAGAAGTGTACTCGGGGTGGGGGGAAGGGACGTGGGAATTGTATACTAATGAAGGAATTTTTTCCCCCCTCTCTTCGGAGGGGGAAGCGAGCTGGTGGGGAGGGGTGGGCAGGGAGAAAATTGCGGCAATGAATGAATGGAAATCCAAAACCTCTGTAAAAAAAAAAAAATTAATGATAAGAAAAAAAAGAATCTGAGCTTTGAATGAGACACTGAGAGTGCAGAGAGTGCTAGCTGGGCAGTCTAGTCAGAAGGGGCAGCCCCTCACGAAGTGTGACCTGGGTCATGTCCCAGGCAAGTCACAGGGGCCAGCATGCTGTGGAAGCCTCAGCACATACTCTTTGACCATGAGAGAGTTCGTTAGTGTGTGGAATGGGAGGAGGTACTCGAAGAACCTAGTAAGCCTTACTTCTGCACAGCTGTGCCCTGGCATCATTTTCCATCTCTCCATTTTGCTCTGTCCTTGATCTGTAAGGAGGCCAGCTGGCTACCTCCACCATGGAATAGCCCTTCCTGTGCTTTAGGCCAGATGCCTGAAAAATAGTAATCTTTGCTTTTCTCTTTTCTGGAGAATCTGAACAACAGTCCCTTCTCCTCATACGAATCCCTAACCCATGTGCACACCTACACTGAGTGGGCTCCCCAGTGTTGCTGCTGAGGACAGAAAGCAAAGTTGCAGCCCCGGGGCTCCTTGCCCTAACAACTCAACCCTAGGCCCCTGCTATTTCCACATCCAGCCAGATCCTGGGAACATTGCCTCCTTGTGCTGACCACCGTGGGGAAAGCCCAGCACCAGTCTTGACTTCCATTCTTTCTCCCTGCATTCACAGAGGTCCTGGAACGTTGTCAAGCGTTGTAAGAACAACATATGTCCAAACCAGGCCTTAGTGAAACAGCTGCTGCTTTGGGAGAAGATTGTCCTTGGGGACACCGTCACAGATATCTCGGACCTGCCCCACTGAACTTCTCCAAGGCCAGGAGGGCATCCTGAGGACCTCATCTGGGGACCCTTGCGGGGAGAGGGCCAGGCTGTGTAAAGGAGTTGGTGTGGAAGAAAAAAGCCTTTGCTGTCTGAAATCTGAGTCAGCATCTGCAGTGGTTTCTTCCCAAGGCTCACTCCACTCAGCAAACACTTCTGCGCAGCCCCAGAATCCCATCCTCATTCCCGGGGTGTCCAGTGCCGCTTCCCACTGCCCTGCCCAGGCCACCACCACCGCCAGAGCTCCTGCAGCTGGAGCGGCTGCCTCCTGGTCGCCCATGACTTGGATCACTGGAGGCCTGGCTGAGGAGGGTGCAGGGGGGCTCCAGGGCTGGATTCTGTCTTGTGTTGGCCCTTAGCAGCTAAACCTCGTGCTCAGGGGTAGGGTGCGGGCAAGTCCCACCGCCCTTGCTGGGTCCCCTACAGAAGCTTCTTCACCCCCTCTTTTCCTCCATCCAACCACCTGGACTCCTGTTCTTTGTTCCCTATTCACTTCTGCCCGGCTGTTTGCCAAGAGGCCACTGCCCCTCCCACCCCCACAGTCCCAGCCATCCCCCTGGAACCCAGGACCGGTTTTTGAAAACTTTTTTTGCCAGTACCCACAACCACCAGGATCCAGGGGAGTCTCAGACCGGTTGTTGTCCATTCAGGAACGTTACCTGCCATCTCTCTGGGCGTGTTGGGGACGCCAGGTTGCCTCCCAGTCCTCTTTCTGCAGAGGGCTGGGGGACAAGGAGTGAGCGAGTAAGGTGGGAGGCTCTCCCCAAAAGAAGGCCCGAGCTGCAAAGACAGGTTGGGCTTTCTCAGAAGAGGGGGGATTTTGCAGGCATCCCGGGATTTGGTCCGAGACTGAGCTGGAGAAGCCCCGCTGCAAAGCAGAGGATTGAGGATTTCGGTCCCGTTAGGGGCTGCGACCCCGCCCACTTCGTTGGAGCGCTGCCCTGGCACACGTGACCCCGCCCAGTCCCCCGCCTCCGTCCCGGATTGGCACGGGCAGGGGGCGGGGCCAGCGCGTCACTGCCCCAGGCGCCTTTCCTATTGGTGCCCGTGGCAGCGCCAGCCCGGAAGCGGACGGGGGCGGTGGCTGAGGTGGCGGAGGCAGAGGTGCCTGGGGCCCGGCGGCTTTGCGGCACCGTCCTCTGCGCTCCTCCGCCCCGCGGTCCGCAGCCATGCCTCCTCCGCCCTCGGGCCCACTGGACAGCTGTCTGCAGGACTGGGAGAATCTGCAGCAGGACTTCCAGAGCATCCAGGTGGGCGCCGCTGCGGTGCCCGCGTTGGTCCAGAGCCACGTCTCTCTGGCTTGAGGTCAAGGGTCGGGACCGGGGGTGTCAGACATTGGGAACTTGAGGTCAGAGGTCGAGGGCCCCGGTATAGCTTCTCAGGTGGGGAGGTCTCGGGTCCGCCAGTCCTCCGCTGGACACTTGGTGGCTTCAGATGAGTGCCTAGCGGTGGCACCATTCACATTGCGGGGCGGGTCATGCAGGACCTCCATCTGTCCGGAGGCTCTTGCCCTTGCCCATCCCCCGAGGGCCCCGTGCCCCCGGGCCCCCGCACCGCACCCTGATCCCTCCCTGGAGAGAGGTCACAGGATCACAGCCGTCTGGCCCAGTCTTGGATGGATCGCTCAGCAAACAGCCTCGGGCGCCTACACCTTGGTCCCAGCCTTCAGGCGACACAGCTGGGAGCCGCTCAGGCCCAGCTCCGACTTGAATGAGTTCTCAGGCCATAGAAACGGCACCCACGAAGTCCTGCAGAGGAGAAGGAGGGGGTCTCACGGTCCCATGTGGCTACTGCAGAGACAGGGGAGAAGTGGGCAGGCCAGGTGGTCCAAAGAGCTCTGAGCCTGGCCGGGATTTCAGTGCCCCTGGAGGGGACTGGTGCAGGGGTTGGTGTCTGGGGCACTGTGGCCCTTCTGGAGGGAGGCCAGGAGGCCAGGCTGCTGGCCTTGTCTGAGCAGAAGGCACTGAGAGTCAGCAGAGGTGGCGTCGTGAGGGGATGGAGCAGATGAGAGGCCTGAGTGGGTGTGACAGATCGTCCTGAGCAAGGGACACAAGGTGCAGATAGGAGACAGTCAAGCCGACCAGACTGGATGAGGCCTTTCCCCCTCCCGGTCTGCTGCACTCACCCCTTCTGTCTGCAGTGCAGCCTAATTGCCCCTGGGCCCAAGCAAGCTTGTGGTCACTTCTCCCCAGGCCCTCAGCGGAGTCCCCAGCTTGGCCCTCAGCCCCTGCCCGCTTTCCTCACACTGTCCTTGCCCAACCACCAGTCTGCTCCTTCCCAGACTCACTCATGAGGGCAAAGTGCTCGGGGAAGCCTCGAGCTACATAAAAGTAGAGAGGGAAGGGTAGAGTCCTAGCAGGAGGTCCAAGGGCCAAACCTTGATGACCTTTGACCTATGAGGAAGGTGTTGGAAATGCTGAGCACTGGGCACCACGGTTAACTCCAGGTCCCCTAGTACTTGCGGGCTGGGCAGGTGGCAGGATCTGAGAAAGCCTGGGGAGCTTTAGGTTCTGTGGGGTGACATGAACCCCTGTGGAGAAGTAGGGACCTCTGTTAGATGGGCTGGAATGAAGTGAACCCTCAGGGAATGAGGAGGGGACTCCTGGCCTGTCTTGAGGAGACTGTGACCTCAGTGAGGGCCACATCCACTTCAAGACGCACATCTTCAGAAGCAGAGACCATCCTGGGAACCTGGGAGAAATTGGGCCAGCAGACACTGGCTCAGTGGCCCCCAGTCAGCCTGGCCTGTCTCACCCACTGACCCCCCCCACCCCCCACCCCGCCAGGAGGCGCACCGGCTGTACCGCTTGAAGCTGGAGGAGCTGACCAAGCTGCAGAACAGCTGTACCAGCTCTATCACTCGGCAGAAGAAGCGGCTCCAGGAGCTGGGCCTTGTCCTGAAGAAGTTAGGAGCTCCCTCGGGCTGGGGGCTGGGGGCAGGTGGCTGCCCTTGGGGTTGGAGTAGACCTGGCTCGTAGACCGTCCCAGGGCCTCTCAATTCTGACCCTAAGTGACTTGTATGGCTTCACCTGCAGATGCAAACCCTCCCTCCCGGCAGGAGCCGCGGAGGCCGTGCAAGAGCTGGAGAACCAGATCAAGGAGCGCCAAGGCCTCTTCTTTGACATGGAGGCCTATTTGCCTAAGAAGAATGGGTGAGGCAACCCCCCAGCTCAGTGCACAGCCCCCTTAGGGGGGACTCCATGATGGGCCCTTCCTCCTGTAGGCCATCTGTCAGTCTGGGCTGAGTAGTCAGGCCCTATCCCCACCTCAGGGCAGACAGTGTGTGGAGATAGGGCGAGAATGCTTTCTGGAGTGAATGACGGAGCCCGAGCCGAGCCACAGCCTGGAGAGATAACTGAAGAACTAACCAGTCACACCTGGAGACTGAGGCAGAGAGGAAAAGCAGAAGTGGCTCAAAGTGGCCATAGCTCAGGTGGAAGGTCGAGAAGAAGGGAACCACTACAGTTTGCATTTGCCCAGGAGGCCTGGAGGAGTGTCAAAGTCAAGGGTGTAGTCACCAAGGAGGATGGAAAAGGGCAAGAGTCTGCAGGGAGCTGCAGTGTTAGCCTCGAGGTGGTGGTGCTTTTCTGGCGATTCTGATCCACCTTCATTCCGCTCCAAGGGAGAAGGCCGGGCAGTCTCCTCCCATGTGATTTACAGCCTCTGAAAACCCGCTGGAGGGTCAGCTGTCAGTCAGTTCTGATTTAACTGCAATGAATTGAGTTGTCGGGAGCTCAGGGCTGAACAAAAATCCAGCAGAGGAGACTCGGAAGCTGCTCCGTGCAGAAGGACAGACTCCTGGAAGAGTATGTCCCTAAAACAAGAGTAGCAAGGTGGCCCAGGGAGATTGCATCTGACGAGGAAGGGAGGTGTTTCTGGAGCTCTGTGGTGACCTTGACAGTCATTCCCTGAGTACAGCGGGAGCTGAGACTGGGGAAGCCAGGGGAGCTGAGGACATAGACACGGACAAGGTCAGGCAGCTATGTCTAGGAAACATGCTGGGGTCCATGTTACTTTGGTTTTGGATAGGAAGGGTTTGAGCTCACTTCCTGGTGAGAGGATAGAGCCAGGGTAGGAAAGGACCCTGAAAGGTCTGTAGTGATGGAGGGAAGTTCCTGGGGATGTGGAGAGAACTGGGCATGGGTACATCTGCGGGGTAGGTGTGTGGTGGACGGAGGGGGATGCCGGGCACCAGGCTCTGTTTTCTCTGATTTTGCAAGTGAGTCTGGTGGCAGATTTGCGAGAGAGGATGGGTCTTAACCTGGGTGCCGATTAGAAGCAAGGAGCGTTAAGCCTCATCTCACGTATTTTGAGTATGTTGTTAGGAGGGACCAGTCCTTGGACAAAGGCATCATGCTTGGAAAGGTGGAGGGTCAGCCAGAGAGAGGGAGACCCTCAGGGACGTGGACTGACGTAGTGACCATATCAGCGGCTCAAGTATATCAGAGATGATGCAGACGAGGCCTGGCCGGGTCCAGATCCATTGTTCACAGGGCCGCTGTGGGTCAGAGTGGACTCAGCAGCCCCTAACGACAAAGTGCAGAGAGCGAGCAGAGTCAGATGGGGAGGCTGGCGGCTGGTACTGTGGGTGGCAAGCACTGCTGGCTGGTCCTTTGCTGGTCTAGGTTCGTCCTGCCCCTGGCCCATAATCTCTGCAGCTTTGGCTAAATCCCTTAGTGCCCTTGAACCTCAGCTCAGTGGGACTTGAGTGAATGTGTGCCCATGTATTGGGTGATGGGTGTTCCTGTGACGTCCCTCTCACCTCGAGGGGTTTCCCTGGGTGGCAGGGCAGCACGAAGGAGCAAGGAGGCGGGGAGCTGATGGAATCAAAAGTGGTTAAAGAATATGTTGTTGTTTGTTGTTATGTGCCGTCGAGTCGCTTGCGACTCATAGCGACCCTATGTACAACAGCCCTAAACTCTGCTCTGTCCTGTGCCAATC